AAGCTGAAGAGTTATTACCTAAGTATCAATTTTAATAAATATATTAATAAATTATTTTTTTAAGTAAAAAAAAAAAAACTAATAATAAAAAAAAAATACCTTAGTACACACAGGTTATAGAAGAAATGAGATAAGAAGAAAGCTCCTTTAAATAATAATTATGATTTACAATTTAGCTAATAGACTACTCGATATTCAACTATGTAATTAGACTTAACGACCTATGAATTCGCATTTCGCTAAAGCCAAAGAGTTATTACCTAAGTATCAATTTTAATAAATATATTAATAAATAAGGGTAGCTGCGCAGTGCGTGACGCAGCGCAGAACCAGTACGATCTCATGCGTGTGTTTCGTTTTTGAGTAATTTGTATAATGTTATTGTTAAATTACTGTTTATTTAACTTGATTATTTTCACATATTTGCTAAGTTTGTGTTCCTGGAAATTATTTTTTGCTTTGAGTACGATATAATTAAAGAATATTTTTATTATAATTATTTTGGTTATTATTATTTTATTATTATTATTGCTAGTTTATTCGTTTTTATATATCCAATATTTTGATACATTTTATTGTAATGTAAATTCATTTGAACTGTACTGTAGTTATTTATTATGAACAGGAGGAACTGTTAATATTACACGACTGATCTTTCATCCGGTGTGCAAAATATAGAAATTTATTTTCTATACTAGACCATTCCGCTAGTTCATGTGATGATTGTAATTCTACACCATTTTACATATCATAATAAAAACTGTGTGAATTATAATCATCACATGAACTAACGGAATGATCTGGTATAGAAAAATAATTTCTCCATATTATGCACACTGGGTGAAGGATCAGTCGTGTAATATTGATGGTTCTTGTTATTGTCACTATTTAAATTTTACAGTTTTAAATCCGTGACTTAGATGTTTCCTGGTGGTACTAAATGCATGGATGAGCTGAGCCACAAGAATATCGTGATGCTCCTAGATGGTGAATGGAGGCTTAATGATGTAGATCAATTCTAGTGGGTGTTTGTTTACCTAACATATGATAAGCATTAGACAGAATAATCGTATGATGTGAGATAAACCCATTATTGTTTGCCATGGAAGGATTTTTTAAGACAGTACTGTTCGCGGCCCGCATACAATGCTGCTTCGTAGCGTTGAAAGTACAAGAAGCTGTGAGAGAAGATAGCGCAGTAGTTTTTAGTAAATTGAAAGGTATTTAAGGCCTGAGTTTTTGCCTTGGCAAAGTTTTATTAGACTATACATCTTCAGACCGTGCGTCTCATACAATTTCTTAAGAGACTACGATATCTTAGTTATAGAGTTTATAATAAGAATCCGATTCTCACATACGTTGTATTTATGTATTGTTTTATTAGTTTAGTTATATTTTTTTATCATATTCTTATTTTATTGTTATTTTGCATTTCCTATTTTATTGTTACATAATAAATTACCCCTGGATAATTAAAGTTGATCTATTAAGAGATAACCTGACTTAGCTTAAGTGTTTCGTGACATCATACCATGTGTACAAAATTATAAATCTTGACTTAAGTGAATCATCGGAGCTAAATTGGATTAATATCCGTAATTGCTCTCCCAACCGATGGTCACATTATTACTACGTGAATTTTTTTTTTTCTTGAGTTCATGTGAATATTTATAATTTAATTTTTATTGAATCGGGTATTGTTTTATTTCATTTTTTTTCTATTTATTTATTTATTCACTTATTTTTGAAGTATGAGAGTATGTTATGAGTAGGTTTGTTGGTTTTTGGATTTTTTAAAGATTCAGAGTCCGGATTTGGGTAAAGACTGGATGCAATGTGTGAATAATATTCTTTGTTTCAAGTTTTGATCAAGTTTTCTTTATTAGATATTGATTTGTTTCGTTATTTTATATTTATGAGTTTTTATCTTGCTTTTGATTCGCTTTTTGAAATTAGTTTGTTTCGATTATATAATCCTATTACTGATTTCTGTTAGTTCAAGTTATGGCTTTAGTCTTTGACTAGGATGAAGTCATTGTCGATAGAGATCATTACTTATTTGGAAGTTAATTGTAATTCGGCGGTCATTTTTTTGTATCAAACCTTACTTTGATGCGAATTATAGTCATTATGATAAAAAATGTTATCACCATTATTTTATTATATAAATGGTAAAACGGTTCATCAATGACGGTTAGTATACTCTTTACATTTTTGTTTTGCATTATGCCCTGTTACGTAGATACTATTGTGAAAATTAGTCAGGTTCGTCAATCTGATAAAGAAGAATCGAAGTTAACTGTTGTGTGGGCGATTGGTGCCTATCCCGTTGAAAGTGAAGATCGAGAAATGGAGATGGTTTTATTTATTCCGATGATTGATTATGAGAGAGATCCTAATACTCAGTCTGTTTTCATGAAGAACGAGTATTACAGCGTAGGTGGGAAGGTTATACCTGGAAGTTACAATGGCAATATGCGATTAAAAGTAAATTTTTGTTGTTTTTTTTTTTTTTTTTTTGTATTATATTGCAAATAACGATTAAACGTTTGGTTTTTTTTTTCATCTAGATGACTGTCTCTTCTTCCACACATCTTGCTATCAGAAGAGATCCTGGTTCGAATAGGTGTCCATTGAAGGTTTCGTTAGTTGGTATTATTCTGGATGCAGCACAGGAAGTCAATGAAGAGAATGCAATAATTAGGGTGTTAGTTAAAGATTACGTTGGGCAGAATAATTCTTTTGTGGTTAAAGTTGTGTTTCCATTTCACAATAATCGGTTCAAGTATTTGATGAATTCCATTCGTCCAAGTGAATCAGTTCTTTTTGTTATTGGACAGATGGAAATTATTCAAGATGATTTATTTGTATACGCTGTTGAGACTTCTTATGTTGATACTTGTTTTACGGATAAGAAAAAAGGTACTAATTCAAGTGACTCACAATCTTCATCGGGGTTGTATAAATCGGTTCGTTCTAGACTCTTGGCTGTTTATCAGAACTCGAACGAGAATTCATCTAAGGAGTTTACTGCAGAAAGTCATAGTATACTCAGAGATATGAATCCGCCTATAACCGAGTCTTCCGCATCTAACTCTTATTCATCTAAATGTGTTAGGGTTGAGGATGAAGATCCTAATCACATTGATTCTGATTACATTGAGGATGAATGCAAAGAAGATGTTGTTAATGAAAATAAAAAATCAGGAAGCATTTGTGAAAAAGTGATTAAAGGGGAAACAAATTCTTTTGTTGTTCATAATACAAGAAAACGTACTGAAATGCTCAAAGGTGTAAATAATAACTTGGATGGAAGAGAGTTTAAGAAGGCGAAATGAGATATTCGAAAGTGTAAATATCGATAATTCGCGGAGCTTTCTTTTGAGCTTGTATTATTTTTTTTTATTATACGTACGAATATTTGTATATAGTTTTGTTGTTTAATAAAGTTATTTTTCGCTCGTGATATTTAGTTAAGTAAAATTAAGTGATCTTAAATATCTAGTTAATATTCGCGTTTTACTTAAATTTACTAATGATATTTTAGTATACTTGGCTACAACGTATATTGCTTGTGTTTTTGACAGTTGGTTATGTTATACGGCTAATTTTAACAAAGATTTATTATTGTTTTTCATGTTTTGATTTACGCAACAAGCTTAAATTTATTGTTCTTTTTTTTTTTTTTTGGTATTTATAATGGTTTACTATTTGAAAAGCAAATTTATTTCGTGTACAAATTAATCGAGTAATGTAATAACAGAGTAGTTTTATTTGTTGTACATTGTTTTGATTTACGTTATATAAGTAATTTTTCAGTTATCCTCGAGCACTCTTCAAAACGTTCAAGTTCTTTTTTGAGGTCGGGGTCGATCATAACACAAAGTTTAGTTTGGTCAAAGTGACGAAGTATCATAATATCCTCTAGTTTCTGTACTCGAGACAACATTACATAGATACCAGCTCCAATTCTCCCACCAACCAAATCAACAATTACTTTTTCCAGTGTAGTACCTTGACACTTGAATTCTGTGAGGGCGAATGCTGGAGTGATAGGCAATTGAGTTCTCTGGAATTCTCGTGTTATGTTTGATCCGTTTTTTATTCTATGCGTGAATTTACATTTTCGTTTGACAGGGTAAACTGGTACATTATTTATCGGAAGGCCATCATACGTGCTTGGTCTGTGATTCAAGAGTTCTATTATCACGTATTTAGGAGGTTTATTAAACGTTATAAATTTTTCACCGTCAACGTTGATATTTTCTTCTATTGATGATTCATTATTATATACAATTTTATGAATTATTCCTTGCGCACCATTTACCATCCCATCATTAGTACATATATTCATTGTTAGGGCTATTTTCATTCCTATTGATAGCGGTAATATCCCACATAACGGGTTCGATTTCGTATCTGATACACTTAAAAATCTCTGTCGTATACTACCATTGACCGGTTTGTTCTTGTATGTATCTTCGGCACATATATAGTAAACTGGTTGGTTACGATTTTTGGCATGTTCAATTGTTGCTTCAAAATTTATCTGAACTCGTAGGTCATTTCTTCGAACTAGAAATGTTGCATTTTTCCATTTCGATGAGTTCATTTCATCTCCTGTTGCAATACGATTATAAAGAGTTTCATATTGAATTGGTGTTAGATAACCATAACGTAAATTATTTAATATAGCAGCATAAGTCGGGTCATTAATTTGACGCATTTGCTTTTTTAGTATGATTACATGTTTTACCGCCTTCCACAATTCTTTTCCGTTAGTATTAATTAATACTCGAATACCACTGGTGTTTGTATCTTGCATTTGATTTTTTTGTGAATTTATTGTTTTGTTAATATTACTAGTTCGGTACAAGGGTTGATCTAGCACGGGCGGGAGTTGTAAAAAGTCCCCAACAAAAATTATATTCAAGCCTGCAAAAGGCATAGCATCATTTTGAAAATTCTTGGCTTCTTTGATACACGCATGTAATCGTGTCATAAGTCCCTGTCCCATCATAGAAACTTCATCTATGATAATATATTCTATATCCTTCCATCGTTCCTGAAGAATTTTTTTTGATGTTTTTTGAGAGAATCTATATTTACAAGTGTTATTATCATCGTCAAATCCAAATCCACACAAAGAGTGAAGAGTACAACCACCAATATTCGACGTGGCAACACCAGTTGGTGCACAAAGGACAAGGGTTTTTTTTTGACCAGTATGTTCGAAGTATTCAGTTATAGCATTAATAACTCTCGATTTGCCTGACCCCCAGCACCACCCAGATACATTAATAACTGAGGTGGTTTGTTAGGATTGCTCGGGTAGTTTTGTTTGCGATGATTACAAACAAGTATGAATGCTTTTCTCTGCTCATTATTAAGTTTAGTTGAAATCTTCTGAAGTATTGATTGCGAGATAACTGGCTTCTTTTGGTTAGTTGTATGAGCAGAAGGTTTCTGGATATAGATTTCTTCGGGATTCATATTATTATTCATTTGTTCCATTTTTTTTCTAGATGATATAATATTTTGCCACGCTTTAACTAGATAATTATCATTTTCACAAGAACATCGTACTTCATCTTCATTATCACATTCTATAGTATCAGGTTCTTCTTGAAAGCTTGATTGTCCTTTTTTCTTATCATTAAATTTATCTTTTAGATATAAATGAAGCATAGCATCATTAACGAATTTCACATTACACAACCCAGAACGCATAATTTCATACGGGCTCGATGAAGTTAAGTTACTAAAATTAAGATCATCTTGGTCATCTTGTATTACTGCGTCACCAGTATTATCATAACCTATTACCGATCTTTCTATCCGTTGAACTTTTGCAATTTCCGGGTTCTCGTAGGCTATTCGACGTAACTGGCGATCCAAAACTGTTTCTTCTGCACATCGATGCAAAAGTTCAATATTATTAATTATAAACTTTACTCGTGTCGATAAACTCGGGCTCTGCAAAAAAGAATTACATGCTTCACGCCATGAACTATACCCAACTATTAGATCATCTGCAGTAACCCATGGTTTGAATAACAAGAGAATATAGAGTCCATAATGTTCCTTATTTTTCAAATCATCTTTACGTGGCACACCTTTTCCACACAATATAGGTATTCTTTCATTTTCACGGGACCAATGAATTTGTATATGCGTTGCATGTTGCGGATGTATTGTACTATGATCACAAGTTTCATTACACTTTTTTTCTCCACCTAAAAATAGAAATCTATCCACTCTTGTCGCATGCCCTTCACGAGTTTTTTGTCTATTAAGTTTGTCTATTTCTTTGTCATTAATTTTTATTTTATGAATTGTTGATATGTAGTCATACAAACACATATTTTTCAACTGTTTACCCCGATACATATAGTCAATTCGTAAATTAACTGCATTTATTTGTTTACCCGAATTTACTATTATAAACATCTCATCACTAGTAAGATCATGCTCATCATTCTCACAATCATCATCTTGACTCGAATCATTCTCGTTATTGTTACTATTTGTATCTTCTGAAATAATTGTTTCAAATAATTCTTCAATCGGGTACTGCGATGTTAGGTATCTCTCAAAAGAATTAAGGTATATTGAAATAAACTTATTAGGGGTATAATGATCTTTAAAACCCAGGAGATACATCGATACCTGAGGTGCAGTCATTTCTGTCTGTCCTACAATCTTATTCAGACACATCGTAACAAGTTTTCGTGATCTCGATACATATTCTTCGGATAATTTATCTGACTCTGATGCTTTAGTAATGAACTTATTTAAAGCAATAGCACACATTAAAAACGAATTATGTGTATTCATATCGGATTTTGTTATATAATCCGTAATATAGTAAATGTATGCAAGTGCTAACTTGACAGTTGCTACAAACCTGATGTCATTGTTTCCGCGACAGCTTGCGGTTATATAGGGGTTATGATTATTTATATAAGCATTGTAACGTTGAAGGGTAATGATCCCAAGTTCAGGATAAATTTTACCAGGTGCTTCAACCAGTTCACGAGGGAAGTCAAAACGGCAATTCAATACTTTGCCACAATAATATTTTTTACATGATTTTGTACATCTATGAAACAGTGTACGTTTTGCAATTCTAAGAACATCACGGCGGAATTCTTCATTAAAGTCAGGAGATTGTGGGTCCGGAATAGGTAAAATTGATGGATGCATTCTCTTTTCTAAAATAGTTTTTGGGGCTTTATATTCAGCGTCCAACATTTCGTCAGTTAAGTAATCATCATTTGAAAAAAGATATCTAATATCTTCTTTAATAATTTCATTTAAATAAACCATTAAGCGTCTTCCAAAATCTTCATACTTTAGACGATCTCACAGCTCAATAGGGTTGAGAGCACCTCGAAGCCAGATTAACATATGGCAATGAGGTGTACCGCGATCTTGATATTCTATCACTCCATAATAGTTTTTTATTTCACCTAATACGCCACCTTCTGGTTTTCGATAACCAAGAATAAACTTGATTATATTATTTATCATGACATTAAAATACTTCGCTACCGCAGTTGGATCAAGATGGGCTAATTTAGCTCTTTCTGTTGCAGTTGGAAAATTCTCAGGAAGTAACGTATTAACGTCAATCTCTTTTTCCGCGTACATCATTACGATTGAGCTGTGAAGATCTGCGGGATTAATGGTTACAAATAACGAAGGTGAACCGTCCCGTATTATGACAGCACGAATTTCGTTACGAAGGAAATTCCGCGATTGATGCGAGCCCATAATTTTTCCTCCAACAATATTTACATTCTTTAGTAAGTCCAACACCGTTTTATTCATAATCGGCTGTTTATTTCGTTCTTGTTCAATCGCGATTTCTATATCATTTAGTGTAAGCTTTGAAATTAATTCAGCTGAATGTTCAAAGCTTACTCGCTTCGTCATCAAGTATGCCCCAATGCAATCTCTCTTCTCCGTAATATATCAAATGCAACAAAAATAAAAGAACGATGACATCTAAATTTAGGATCGCGAAGGCGTAACAAATGTTCAATATATTGCCTAAATGGTACGTGCTGCTTGCGAAAATTATCTTCGTGACCACTGACTCCATAAGGAAACAACGTAGGAAACGCAGCAGGCAGAAGTGTTGGATCTGTATATTCATTTTTGGGTATATTCGAATGCGGCATTAAGATTGTATCAGGGCATTCTTGTTTATTATTAGCAGACTCCTGAATCATCTTTTCCAATAACTTCAAAGAACGTTCTCGTTCAGTGATGAGAGTATTATTAACATATGTCATACCCGAATTTCTCAATTCAGTTAGACTATCAACACGATTAAGCAGATCATCTTTCGACTCTTCACCATCATCACTATTCGTATCATCACCCGGGTCTTTCTCGTCAATTGGATCTATTGAATACCCAGTATAATGTTCTGTTTTTGTTGGATCAAGATTAACTATTACAGTCGTCGCCAATAGAGCAGTTGGTATTTCATCTTTCGGTAAAGATTCTAGTGTCGCTCTATCAAGCCTAATATTCTTGTAGAGGATGTTGTGATTCAGTAACCATTCCAAAGCCGCTG